GGAGCGCCACAAGTTTGTAGTTTGCTTCTCTTCGACTTCTCTTCTGCTTATAGTGTTTACTTCTCTTCGACTTGACCTTTATAGTGTTTGCTTACACCGGACTCACTTCTATAGCGCTCACTTCTATAGTGCTCACTTTGAAATTGTGGTCCGGAAGGGGCCGCACATGCAGGCACATGCCGCACAGTCGCATGCACATGCCCATGTAAATATACAAAAGCCTCAACAGCATTGCCGCACATGCGCGCACATGCCACACCGTCCGACGCACAGTCGAATGCACGGTCAAGCAAAACTCTGAAATCATAGACGCACATGCCCGCACATGCCGCAGAGATGTCGCAGGCGATAGTGGCCTGACCACCTGAGCTCGGGGCATTTCGCAACCCAGAGTTCCGAGGATGTCTCAGGCAAGCGTGGCCGGATCATCATGGGGCAGGGCATCTTGGAAACCAGAGTGGCGAGGATGTCGCTGGTCAAGGTGACCAGACGACCATGGGGCAGGACACCTCCGAGGTCTGAGTTGTGAGGATGTCTCAAGCGAAAGTGGCCTGACCACCATGGGGCAGGAGATCTCTGAGGTCAGAGTTGCGAGGATGTCTCTGGGGAGAGTGGTCTGACCACCTCAGCCCAGGGCATCTCGGAGCCCAGAGTTGCGAGGATGTCTCAGGCAGGACTGGCCTGACCACCTGCTCAGGGCATCTCAGAACCCAGAGTTGGGAGGGTCTCAGGCGAAAAAGGCCGAGACACTATGGAGCAGGGCATCATTGAGGTCAGAGTTGCGAGGATGTCTCAGGCAAAAGTGGCCTGAACAGCTCAACTCAGGGCATCTCGGGCGAGGATGTCTAAAGCGAAAGTGGTCTAACCACCTCAACTCAGGGCGTCTCGGAACCCAGAGTTCCGAGGATGTCTCAGGCGAAAGGGGCCGAGACACTATCGAGCAGGGCATCATTGAGCTCAGGGTTGCGAGGATGTCTCAGGCGACAGTGGCTGACCACCTCAGCTCGGGGCATATCGGAATCGAGACTTGCGAGGATGTCTCAGGCGACCGTGGCCTGACCAGCATGGGGCAGGAGATCTCTGAGGTCAGAGTTGCGAGGATGTCTCATGCGAAAGTGGTCTAACCACCTCAGCTCAGGGCGTCTCGAAACCCAGAGTCCCGAGGATGTCTCAAGCGAAAGTGGCCGGGCCACCATGGGGCAGGGCATCTCCGAGACCAGAGTTGCGAGGATGTCTCAGGCGACGGTGGCCAGATCACTTCATGTCAAAGCACGTCGGCCTCCAAATTGCCGACGACGTCTCACGCGGAACTGGCCGGACGCGAACGCGCCGGCGTCCGGAGACGAACGCCGGCCCCAGCATTCTTGCACGTCCCGCACATGCACTGCACAGGTACGCACAGTATTCGCACAGGCCGAGCTCGCCGGTGGCCGAGCCAGGCCAGCGATTCCGAAATTCCCTGAGCTCGGGCCGTCAAGCCACTTTCGCCTGAGACATCCTCGCAACTCTCACCTCCTCCTCCTCCTCCTCCTCTTTCTCCTCCTCCTCCTCCTCCTCCTCCTCCTCCTCCTCCTCCTCCTCCTTCTCTGGCCGAGCCGAACAGGCGGGCGGCCCGGCCGAGCCGGGGGCGACCGCCTCCTCCGCCCCCCCCTCCTTCCCCCCCCCCCTTCCACCTCCCCCCCCCCCACCCCTGCTTCTCCAGCCGAGCTGAGAAGGCGCGCGGGAGAGTACGTAGCACCCCGCAATTGCGGATAAGAGTGAGGGGGCGGGCGCGGGCGACGCGGGCGTCGTCAAGCCGGCGGACCTCGTGGCCCCCACCTTCCCTGTCGATGGCGCTCTCCTCCTCCTCCTCCTCCTCCTCCTCCTCCTCCTCTTCCTCCTCCGCCTCCTCCTCCTCTTCCTCGTCCTCGTCCTCGTCCTCATCGTCATCGTCGTCCTCCTCCTCCTCCTCCTCCGCTTCTTCCTCGTCCTCCCTCTGCCCCCCTCGTCCTTCCATCATCGTCCTCCCATTGTCGTCATGTTCCTCCTCGTCGTCCTCCTCCTCTTCCCCCCCTCCCGATCCTCCCCCCTCCTCCTTTTCGTCGTCGTCGTCGTCGACGTCGTCGTCGTCCCCTTCCTCGTCCTCCTCCTCCTCCTCCTCCTCCTCATCCTCATCCTCATCCTCCTTCTCCTCCTCCTCGTCCTCCTGCAAAAGCAGCCCGCCGCAGGCGCCGAACAATTTGGTCTGTACACTGAACGTGGTTTGGGTCGCGGGTGGGCCGCGGGTTCTCCACCGGGAACGAATGCAAAAGATGCCCGCCGCAGGTGCCGAAAAATGTAGTTTGTACCCTGAACGTGGTCGCGGGTGGGCCGCGGTCTCTCCACCTAGAACAAATGCAAAAGATGCCCGCCGCAGGCACCGAAAAATGTGGTTTGTACCCTGAACGTGGTTTGGGTCGCGGGTTGGTCGCGAGTTGTTCGCGGGGTGGGTCGCGGGCTCTCCACCTGGAAGGAATGCAAAAAAGCCCGCCGCAGGCGCCGAAAATGTTGGTTTGTACCTTGAACGTGGTTTGGGTCGAAGGTGGGTCGCGGGTGGGTCGCGGGGTGGGTCGCGGGTGGGTCGCGGGTGGGTCGCGGGTGGGTCGCGGGTGGGTCGCGGGGTGGGCCGCGGGCGGGTCGCGGGGTGGGTCGCGGGTGGGTCGCGGGTGGGTCGCGGGTGGGTCGTGGGGTGGGTCGTGGGGTGGGTCGCGGGGTGGGTCGCGGGTGGGTCGCGGGTGGGTCGCGGGTGGGTCGCGGGGTGGGTCGCGGGGTGGGTCGCGGGGTGGGTCGCGGGTGGGTCGCGGGTGGGTCGCGGGTGGGTCGCGGGGTGGGTCGCGGGGTGGGTCGCGGGTGGGTCGCGGGGCGGGTTGCGGGTGGGACGACGACAACAAACAACAACAACAACAACAAACAACAACAACAAACAACAACAACACGAGTCCGCACCGCGGAATCCCACTTCAGCCACGCACCCAGGGACAGTGAATGACCGTTCGGCCCCCTCACTCTGATGTTTATACAACGTTTATGCTTAAGCAAATAAGCCGTTCAACCGGCTGCTCATTGCTGCGGCATGAAGACGGATTGGCAGCGAGGACGGCCATGCCAGGCGCAGAGAGGCCTGGAAGGCATCATCCCAGGACCGGCTCTTGCGAGCGGGTGCAAAGGGAAACGCTTCATCATCGTCAGAACCATCCCCACCACCCCCTTCTGGGGCAGCGTAAGTTAGCTCTCCGAACGTACACCGTCTGGATGGGGATGTGTGCCGCGAAACCTTGAGGAGACGGTATCCATCCACACCTAGACGGGTTAGGTCAGCTGATGGAGCCACAGTTTCCCAGTGACGCACATGAGTTGCCAGCGGTTCCCCCATCCTCCTCCTGCTCCTTGCCCTTCTTGTCCAGCGCCGAGTTTTATTTTCGCTTTCGGCTGAATGCTAGCCTGATAAGGTGGCCAGGTTTTGTCAATGAGCTTCAAATCCGCACTACACGTATTGTATTATATATAAACATACATGTATACAGCCCGAGCCCTTCTTCTCGTGGTGTCGCGCCGAGCTGCCCTATGTGCAGGGCGCGGAAACTCTGCTGCGAGACCGAAAGGCTGGCCGACGCAAGCCTGCCCACCCTCGGGGGGGGGGAACAAATAATAAACATACATGTATACATGTACACGTATAGGTATACGTGTATGTGTGTGTCTGCATATGTATATGCATTTTTACGGTATATACACAGATCTATAGGTATACCGATAGTTGTTTCAATTTCAGGAGCGATCCGAGAGCGCCCCCCCCCTGAGAGCCTGGCTTAGGGAGCCTCCTCAGGGCCGTCACTTAGAAAGGAGCGGGTCGCGCTACGCGAAGCGAACGCAATAGACACAAGGAGTTGCGCTTTAGGACTCCAGATATATGCAAGCATAGAAGCTTTATGTAACATGCCTCGAGAGATAAACACTATCTTCGCCAACTGATCTGTCCAAGTGTCGTGCGGTCAGTCGCACATCTCCCCGGTAAGATTATACTGCAATCATTCTCTGAGAAGGCGCTCGCCACGACTTTGGTCACGACCAGGCCCGAGCGCGGCGAGGGAACGACTGAAGGTGACTCGGGAACGCATCCCCCGTCTTAGTGCCTTCGCATCAGCGGGAGGGCCCGTCGGGGGGCGAAACTGACGTGAGACGTGTGTTGTACGAGTGCCGAGGTCCTGGGATGGCGCCTTGATCTCGAAACGGTTGCGGACGGCGGCAAACCCTGGAGAAACCGCCCGAACCCACAAGAAGATTCCCACCCCAGGCCCTTTCGCCAACCTACTGAAAATGAGCGCTCTTAGATTCACTCACCAATATAAGCATGTGTATACATGTCGGTATGTGCATATGTATGGGTGAATGTGTATGCACATGCATTTGCATCATCGTATGCGTGATTTATGTATTTCTCGAGAGGGATGGCCACCTGCCCTCCACAAACGCACGTGAAACTGAGCCCGGGGCCCCAGTAGCGGCCCCTGGTGATTCTGGCCACCAAGCGTCTGTTTTCACTTCTCTCGGCCGCCGTCGCCGCCCGCCGTTCTCGCGGCGAGCATCCTGGACATCCCTTCCCCCCACCCCGCCTGCACCCACCCTCCCTCCTCTCTCCTCCCTCAGCTCAGCCTCCGTTTGGCGGCGCGCACGCGGGGGTAGCGCGAGAGGGGCGGCGCTCCGGGAGTGCGGGGGGAGCTCCTGAGAAGGCCGGGCGCCTTCTCGGGAGGGCCGGGCGGAGGCTTCCCCAGAAGGCTTCCGAGAAGCCCCCCCGCCTCCTCAGCAGGCCGCTCCCCTCGTGCCGCTCCTCGTGCGCGCCGCCGACGCCACCTCTGCGCAGCCCCGCCCCTGGGGGCCACGTGCAAGCCTCAGCCTCGCCCTTCCTGGCCCAGCTGGCCCTCCCTCCTCCTCCTCCTCCTCCTCCTCCTCCTCCTCCTCCTCCTCCTCTTCCTCCTCTGCAGGTCAGCGAGACCGAGGAGGCCATGTGCAAGCGGCTGACCTCCCTAGAGGACCCGCCGCCGTCGCGGCCGCGCGGCCGGCGGGGGGCGAAAGGGGGTGCGTGGAGGGCCGGAGCGAGATTGCTGGCGTTGCGAGGGCGCGCTTCGCGATGCTGGAGAGATGAGCTCTTCCGCCATCGCGCGGTCGATCGGTACGATCGAAGTGGGTACGGTAGGTTCATGTCGTGTCGACCGCCGGCGACCCCGCCGCAGGCGTTGAACGCTGAACGTCGCCGGCGACCCAGATTCGGTCGATGTTGAACAATTTGACGTTTCGGAAGCAGTCGATCGTTCACGGTGGAACGATCCCCGCGGTGTCAGGAACCAACGCCGAAGTCGGCACGACACGAACCTGCCGTACGGAAAGAATGGGTACCAAGAACGACAACAATTCCCATTCAGTTGGAACGCAACTCACTGTCAGTGTCGCCGCTTGCGTGGTCCAGGTGTGACAGAAGGCCGCCTGCCCAACAGCGGCCGCTGTCGGTTTTGGACAATACTTGTTGGTGAGCATCTTGCCCATGTTCTCTGTACCCATCTCGGGCATCCCAAGCCGACATGTGGCACACGTACCTTTCTGGGAAAGTTTGATCAATCTTGCTATTGCCAGGGTGTTCAGCAGTGGCAGCGCGTTGCGTATTCATCGTCCCCGCCAGGACATGGTATCACAAGGTGGGGGCTGTGTCTTCGGGTATTTTTTCCGCTGCGAAAGCAATCTCCATTGCCCCATACCAATGTGTTCTCTCTCCAGCTTGCTAGGATCATTGTCTTGTTGACCTTTCTTTCTTATGCGTATTGCTCGTTGTTCGGACATAACAACTTTTATCACGCTGCACGATGCTCAAGGGGGTTGGATGGGGCAAGAGTTATTACAATCCCCCTGGGAACGACATTTCTACAGCCCGCCCCCCCTTCCCCTGTGCGGGCATAACATACTTTGTCATGCTGCGCATTGTTCCAGCGGGGTGGAGGGGTAGAGGGACACAAGTGCTACAATCCCCATAGACACGAAATTGCTACAGTCTACCATTCAGGCATAGCATGATTTTCCGTGATCAGATGTGACGCCGCAACACGCGGCCTTGTGAGCTCAAGCTGCTCTCGTCGCACTTGTTCACTTTTCCAACCCTCCCGTGCCCTGGGAGAGAGGGGTGTCTGGGTGGGCTGCTTTTCGTTTTGGCGGGTTTTGGGGAACTGCCTTTGGGCGCCCCTCTCCTTTTCTCTGCCGTCCACAGAATGATGGGACGAAGAGGGGGGAGGTGACGAGGGCAGCCTGGCTGAGCGTTCCAAAAATCTACGCCTCACGAAGGTGGCCTGCCCAAGGTAGGTGTCTGAGACCCTGGCAGCCACTGCATGGAGTACCGCTAGGGGCGGAGGTGCACCTGCGCCGCCCGGGGTGGATCAACCTCCGATGGCTTCCT